GCGGGCCGGGGATGGGGCCGAGGGGGCTCCTTGGCCGCCACTGGCAGCCCCGGGCTGATTCATGGCACCGCCGGTTCCCGGTGTCCCTGGCTGCCGCCCAGCCCTGGCAGCGAGACCCCGCTGCGCCTGCCCGGCGCCAATGCCCGCACCCCCGCCGAGGGGTGACCCTGGGGTGCAGCGTCCTCGCCCAATGGGCACCAGTGGGGCCGGGGCTCAGTGGGACCTGCTTCGTGAAGTGGGGCCTTCCCCACACCCCCCGCCCTTACGCCCACCCACCATCAACAGCCGGCGAGCCCCCCCGGCGCGCAGCAGCTCCCGGTGACACCCCCTCCCAGCCAGCCGCACCACGGGGCACCCACCAGCCCTGAGCGGGGCTGGGGCTCCCCACAGACGTGCCCAGCTCAGCCCCCCCCCAGCCCCCACTGCACCACGGCGGGCAGCGGCAACCTGCTCCACCACCACACCGTGCCGGAGACCAGCTCCCGGCGGGTCAGTCACAGCCAGCGTGGTGCCGGCAGTGCCCAGCCCCAGCTCCACCCTGCCCTGCTGTGGGCAGGGGTCCCTGTCGGAGCAGGCTGGGGGTCCCCAGGGCTGCCATGAGCCACCGGGATGCCGCAGCACCCATTCCTGCACCACAGCGGGGCCTCGTGCCTCCCCAGCTGCATTGCCCGGTGCCAGCCACCGGGCCTGGGCACGCCAGGCCTCGTCCCCATCCCGGCCCTGGCTAACCACACTGCGCCAGCCTGGCGGGCCGGCAGGCCCGAGAGCGCGGTGACCTTGACGGGAGCTGCGGGAGCGGGCGGCACGCGGGCTCCTTTGGCTGCCGTCACTGCGGATGATTCATGGTGCCGCTGCCTGGAAGCCCTGGCCCCCCCGGCACCACCGGCCTGGTGGCTCACCGCACCTGGCTGGGGCTGCCCCACAACCCGCTCGCAGCGTCCTGAGCTCAGCAGCCATCCCCACGCCGCCCGACGGCTGCTCACGCCCATGCGCGCCCTGTGCCACGCCGGCACACGGTCCACCGTGTACACCGGTACACAGTGTACCCTGGCTCTGCCCCGGTCCAGCCACGGCAGGCACGCGCCAGGCAGCGGGTGCCTCAGCAGGGACCCCCATCCCGTCCCGGGGAGGCAACGGGTGCTCCCACCCCCGGTAACCCGGCACGGCCGGGGCACGGCTGAGCCCCCCACCCCAGCACCATGGGGCAGGGCCAGCCCTGGCGAGGGCAGCCGCATCCCCCCCGTCCACCGGGCACCGCGTGGCGATGGCAGCTGTGGGCAGCAGGGAATGACCGAGGCGCCGTGCAGGCAGCTGCCTGCCCGCACAGCAGCAGCCGCCACAGCATCGGAATTAATTGCACAGCAAAGGCAATCAGGACGCTTGGCTCGTTAGCGTGCTGGAGAAGAACAGGGAAGGCCAGCCAGCACATTGCAAAGGGTGGGGAGAGAGGTTTGGGGGGGGGCCAGCCCTGCGGGGCCGGTGCCCCCCACCCCACAGAGGGGTCCACAGCTGCACAGAGGGTCCCATGGCTTCTCCGGCACCTGGCAAAGGGAGCGGGGCTGGGTGCCCACCCCGGTGCTCCCGGGAGAGGAGCCCCAGGAGCAGGGCACGGAGCTGCCTGTGGGAGCAGGGGGGTCCCACATGGGGCCCCCCTCACGTGTGTGAGCAGACGCGTGGCAGGGGTGGGGGGGCCGGGGCTGCTCAGGGACTGGGAGCGCAGGCAGATGCACCCGGGCAGCTCCATCCCATGCCAGCTGCCGGGGTCCCCGGGGAGAAGTGATGGCGCGGGGCTGCACCGGGGGGGCTTGGGGACAAGGCAGAGGGGATGGGGAGAGAACCCTCTCCCCATCCCCTCTGTCTTGTCCCCAACCCCCCCGTGGCAGCCCTCCTGGCAGGGACGGATGGGGGTCTTGGGACCCTACCGGTCCCTGGCAGCCTTCAGTTCATTAGCAGGAGTCAGAATCAGGGTGTAATTAAGCAGCAGCCGCCGCCTGCTCCCTGCAGCCAGATGGCAGTTACACAACGTGCCAAGGATTAACCACTACCGCCAGCCCCCTGGCACCCCGGGCACAGCAAGCCGGGGGCCCGGAGCAGCCTACCGTAACACAGGGGCTTGCGCCTGCGCTGGGACAGAGCCGGGGCAGAGGGTCACCACAGTCTGGGGGGGTCCCTGCCCTGTGCTCCCCACTGGGAATCCCCTGGGGACCCTATGGGGTCCATCCCAGCCACATGCCACGCAGCCATGGCACCCATCCCCATGCCCCGGCACAGGGAGCGCCGCAGCCAGGACCACCCCGGCCAATCTCCCCGAGGAAAGTGACAGGGACCCTCCTGATCCCTCCTGATCCCACGGGGTGGGGGACAACGGCCACACCACACAGCCAGCGACAACCCGCGCCTCACCTGCCCTGGCGTGCCCTGCTCGAGCCGGTCCCTCCGGCACCCTGCCAGGCAGGGGCACCCCAGGCCCCCAGCCATGCCCTCAGCCGCCTCCTGCAGCCCCCAGCCCCTCACAGCACCTCCCTGCAAGCCCCAGCACTGTCCTGCACACTCCGGCATCACCCTGTGAGCTCCAAGCATCGTCCTGTGAGCTCCAGTACCTCCCAGTGAGCTCTGGCATCATCCCGCAAGCTCCAACATCCTGCACGCTCCAGCATTGCCCTGCAAGCTCAGCACCTCCCTGCGAGCTCCAGCACCTCCCTGTGAGCTCCAGCATCATCATCCCATGAGCTCCAGCATCGCCCTGCGAGCTCCAGCATCATCCCGTGAGCTCCAGCATCACCCTGCAAGCCCCAGCATCATCCCGCAAGCTCCAGCATCATCACACGAGCTCCAACGCTTCCTTGCAAGCTCTGGCAGCCAGCTGCCATGCAGAGCATCCTCCGGGCTCTGGCCATGCCCTGAGCACTGCTCGGCCACCTCTGGCACCACCCAGCCACCTCCGTCAGCCGGCGGCATGGTGGGCGCCTGTGGGCTCACCTGGGTGACTTTCTCGGTGACGTTGTGGGTGCGGTCCTTCAGCTTGGTGGGGGCGATGATCTCCTTCTCGCCGGGCGGCGCAGCCAGGAAGGCGTCCGCCTTGAAGTCCACGAAGTTGAGGGTGATCTGGGGGATCTTGCTGATGGCCCGGTAGCGCATCAGGTCCGAGTCGGAGGTGGAGTTCAGCAGGGCGCTCCGGACGTTGTTCATGGCCCCTGGGCAGGGGGACCGTCACCACGGGGGGGCCACGGCCCCGCTGTCCCCCGGGGTGGGGGTCCCATGGCAGCCAAGGAAAGCCCTGGGGGGGGGCGGGAGGGGGCCCACAGCAGGCGAGGGTTGCAGGCAGCCCTGGGGCAGGGAGCACCCCTAGCCAGGCACTGCAGGATCGCAGCCCGCCAGCTTGCTATCGTTTACCGTTAATGTAATTATTTTTCCCCTTCCCTAATGTGCTTAGCCGGACTGGGGGTTAACAAGGCAATTGCTGCCGCTCCGGCGCTGCGAGGGGATCAGGGGCTGCGGCAGGTGGGGCTGGGCGCTGCCGGAGGGGCAGGGGGCTGTGCGACGGGCTGGGGGTGTAAGGCCCCCGCCTGGGATGGGCTGGGGGGGGAGTTGAGCCCCCCAGCCCTGTGTGGTGGAGCTGGGCAGGGGGTGCGTACCAGGCAGCCGGACAGAGCAGCCGCACCAGGGTGGCCACGGGCTCCCTGTCAGGCGGGGGGGGCTTGGCGCTGTGCGGGGGGCTCGGTGCCAAGTGGGGGGCTCAGGGCTGCCCTGGCCCACCCCGCGCCGGGTGACGGGGGGAGGTCCACTAGGTGCCAGAGCCGCCGGCAGCGTGGAACATTACAGCGATGAGGAGCCTGACAGTGACGAGTGCTGCGGTGGCCCCGTGCCGGCACTGCTGCCGAACTGCCGGCAGCTCCCTCCGGCTGCGGCTGACAGCTGCCCCGGCGACCTGCGCGCCAGGAGATGGCCCTGGCCCTAACGAGCTGCCAGCCCCAATGACTTCACCCCACGGCCGCACACCACGCCGGGGCGAGAAGCTGCGGGTGCCGGCACTGGTGCGTGCAATGCTCGCGGTGTGCCGGCGGCGCCGTACCGGTGCTGGAGCCGCGGTGCATGCTGGCGCCGGTGCTGGCGTGGCGGTTGTGGCAGCGCTTCTCGCCCTCGCCCTTCATGGTCTCGATGTCGTCGACAGAGGAGGCGCGGCGCACGCTGTGGATGCTCTCGCGGGAGCGGCTGCGCGCCAGGCTGCAGTTGGAGAAGGCGGCGTGCAGGGCCAGGCGGTCTGCGCGCGGCGAGGAGTGGGTGATGGGCGGCTCGGGGGGGCCGTCCCCCATCAGCGCCGCCTGGTCCTCGGGCTGGGCCCCCCCCGGGCAGCTGGGGTCCAGCGAGGAGGTGGCCTCCTCGGGGCCAGACTCGCTGCTCTGCTTGGAGAAGTCGACGACGATGGCGTCAGGCGGCTCCTGCGGCAGCGACTGCTTGCTGCCCGCCAGCGCCAGCAGCGCCGGCAGCTTCAGCCTGAAGGACTTGCTGCGCCCTGGATAGAGGAAGGGGCAGGACCGGGGTCGGGCGCTGCCCGCCGGCAGCCGGGGCACCCGCTGCCCTCGCCACGTGCCATGCGGCATGGCTCTTTCGGCAGGGCCCGGCACCTGGGACGCGGGGTCTCCAGGAGCAGGGTCAGCGTGGCCCCAGTGGGACCTGGTGCCACACCTGGCATGGCGGTGCCAGCACAAGTCCCCCCCGGCCATGCCCTGTGCCCCGTGCCCCGGCACCAGCCCTACCTGCGGGGAACCAGTTGGCGGGGGTGACCCAGTGGTTGGTGTCCTTGTCGGGCGAGCCCGGGCGCTCCTTTTCCATCACCACCTCGAAGTTCAGGATGAACATGATGACAGCCCCATCCTCGTTCTTCACCGGCACCACGTCCACCAGGCACAGGAAGCAGCTGCCTGCAGAAGGGGGCTCAGCACCGCGGCGGCACGGGCCCCCCATCCCTGCTGGGCACCCCCTTCCTGCCCCCCCACCCTGTGGGGCAAGAACTTGCTGACTCAGCAGGGTGCCAGCCCCTGCTGCAGCTGCATCATGGGGGGAAACTGTGGCACGAGAGGGTGGGAGGGGCCCAGTTTCCCCAACACCCCCCAAAATGCCCCAGGGACCATGCGGGGTGACAGGCAGAAGCCATGGGGGGGCCAGCACTGGGGGCAGTCAGGGTGCCGGGCCAGGCTTAAGCCGCTCAGAACTTGTTAACAGCTGCAGCGTTAATCCTGCTGTTGCAGCTGGGAGCTCAGCTGGGCTGGGGGGGGCCGGGGGCAGCCCGGGGTAACCTCTCCTGCATAGGGATGGGGCAGCATCCTGCACCCCCCAGCACCCTGCCGTGGGGCCAGCCGCAGCCAGCGCTCCTCGCCCTGCGGGGGTCCCCATCCACCCCGGGGGCTGATGGGGGGGTGTCTCTGCAGCCCCCCCACCACACAGCAACCCCAGCCCATCCCCAGCACCTGCAACAGCTGCAGCAGGACACGGGACGGGGGACAAGTGTGTGACACCAGGGCGCTGCATCATCCCCACACTGATCCCCTGAGCCACAGCCCCTGCTGCACCCCCACACGGCATCCCCCCCCCAGCAGCGGGCCCGGAAGCTTGTGCCAGGGAGCCCGGCATGGTGGCCGCCAGCTGGCACCAGCACCGGCACCGGCCCCAACCCGGCATGGGGAATCCCTGCCCACACGCGGGGCTGTGGGCAGGGGGCCAGCGCAGCAGGAGGCATGCGGCACGACACAGCGCGGTATGGCGCGGCACGGCGCGGCACGCCACAGGCCGCAGCGGGGTCCCCGGCTGGGCCGCCCGCTGCGGGGGGATTAGCAGCACCAACACATGGCCGCCCCGCGCTGCCGGCAGCTTTGCTTCATCCTCGCCCACCTGGTCCCGGGCTCCCGCGGGAAATCCTAATCGCCCTGATCCCCTCGGGCTGCCGGGACACGCGCCAGCACCGGCACCGGGTGCCCCCGGTCCTCCCGCCCGCAGCTGCCCCATCCCACTGCCCTCCGGGGTCAGACCCCTGGGCAGGGACGGTGGCGGGACCCCCCACGCTGGCTGCACGCACCTCACCTTGCTGCTGGCGGGGCCTCCAGGCGGGGGGGTCAGGGTCCCACGGCACCTGCCCCACGTGCCCCCGGGGCTGCAGGCACGCGGACCCCCACCCCACGTGTGGGCCAGGAAAGCGCGGGGG